GAGCGACTGGCCCGGTCGGAGGAGTCGAAAGACTTGAAGTTGTAGGAGTGGAAGGACTTGGTGCGGCCGCTCGGGGAGATGGAGTGGTCGGAGAAGCCCTCGGAGAGCTCCTGGTCCGAGGCCTCGTATCCCAGCGGGAGGAAGACATCCAGCTCCTGGAGCTCGGCCGGCGGTGGGCTCGTGCCCTCCTTGCCGGGGGGGTCGGAGAGGCGGAGCAGCTCCGCGCAGCCCCCGCTGGTGCTCAGGCTGTGCTGGCGGGACTCGTAGGACTCCCGGACGTAGAGCTTGGTGAGGGTGTCCTGCCAGCCAGCCAGCCTGGCCAGCTGCCTCACCAGGTCCTGCTGGGCGTAGATCAGGTGGAAGAGCTGCAGGAGAAGGAAAAGGGAGGAGACCTGATGCTGCTGCCCCAGCTCCTGGTGGGTTGACGCTTGGATCCTTGGTCCTGGGCACCCGAGATCCTCCATCACCGGCACGAGGTGCTGGGGCTGCACCACTTCCATGCTGGCACATCCATGTACAGGTCACCACCATGTCTGGGCATGGCTGGGTGCCCAGGGAGCTCAGCCCCGGGGTGACACCTCTGTGCCCTCACCTTGCGGCAGAGGTCGAGCCGGACGGTCAGGTCGGCCCGGTGGGACAGGTAAACCACGGCCACCAGGTCCTTGTAGTTGGGAGGGTCTGTGGGCAAGGAGAGACAGCACAGCGGTGGGACACCCCAAAATCCATCAAAGATCCCAGTCCCAAGACCGGTTGAGCCTCATGGGAAGCCACCAGCGCTGATCCCATGGCACGTGTTTTGGAGTGTACATTTTTGGGACGCGGTACCTGCCCCGAGGACCTGCTCGGAGAGGCAGCGGAAGAGCAGCATGGAGCTGGGGACATCACTGAGGTAGGAGATGAGCCCGTGGTACCCGATGTCCTTCAGCTTCAGGCGGTTCTTGCTGCGCTCAGGGACCTTCTCGTACTTCAGCATCTTGTAGAGGATCTGGAGGGACAGTGAGAGTTGTTACCTCGCTGGGGACAGCGAGAGGTCGGCGCCGGGGACCCGCCTTACCTTGAAGACCCTCTCCCGCACTTCATCCGAGAACTTCTTCTGCACCAGCAGTGAGAAGAGAACCTCCACCTGGCCCGGCTCGAAGAGGAAGGCGAAGAGCTGCTCCTGGGCAGGTGAGCCCTTCAGCAGGCTGTGGATCACCTCCAGCGCCCCACACACCTGCAGGACACGGGGCTGGTTGTCCACTGCCCTCCAAGTGCCCCACCATGACCTCAGTGGCTTGTGCCAGCCCAGCCCACAGCACACTGAGGAGTTTGGGGAGCAGGGTGGTTCAGTGACGAACCTGCTGCTCGTCCTGGGCCCCAGCCAGGTAGCTCAGCAAGCTCTGCATCTCCTCCCCGGAGAAGCTCCGGCAGAAGAAATCCTTCACCAGGCTGAAGAGGGATGTCTGCACTGTCTTGATGTCATCCGTGGCCGTGGTCTTCTCCCTGGAGGTGCTGATGGACAGACACACATGGGGACATGTTCAGTACATTGTCACCCAGCACCAGCACCGTCCCAAATCCCGTCATGAAGCCTGAGGAGCTCCAGGGTAGTCCCACGTGGACATCCAGGGATCTTCTGGCCCATGGGAAATGTCTGCCCCAGGCTTTTGGGTCTCTGCAGGGGGTGAGCACCCCCAGTACCACAGGGGGTATCAACTCATTGCAGAAGCTACCACGCTGTCAGTGGCTGAGGGAGAGATGCTGGGGATGGATTTGGGAGCCAGGCACAGGGTTGGGGATGGATTTGGGAGCCAGGTACAGGGTTGGGGATGGATTTGGGAGCCAGGCAC